AGAATTAGTCGGTGTGATCAGTCTGCATTACAATGAACCATGAACATTTTGATACCATTTTAATGTATTTACCAGCACAGATGTATTTTCTGTTAGGCTCAAATTGCCTTGAAAAAGTGACATAAATGAAACACTACTGTATCTTAACTTCTGCAACCATCTTGTTTTTCCCCTCCTACATTTGTCTATGACAATGAACCTATCTTTGCATTTAAGGAACATTTCAACATTTTGGAAAATACATTTATATACTGTACTTGTGGTCACGCTAAAACATGGTACAGCAAAACTAATGCAGGCATTTTGGTGTCATCACTGGGGATTCTCTGAGTTTCACTTCACTATTGACTTTCTCTGGCATTTAATTCATGACTAGACATGAGAATAGGTCTGTAGCTGTGATTTGATTTCAATCAGAAGCATCAGAAGCTGCAAATTTCAGAAATCTTCTTCAAGTTTTGAGTCATTGCGCATTGAAAAAAGACAATAAGCTCTCCAGGTTAACAAGCTCGCTAACAGTCAGTTTGCCGAACGCGGTTGTAAATGAGGTAATAGTTTAATCTAATGATGCATTTATACCACAGCTCCCTGGCTTAAAGCTACAAAACACCTCTCTGTTGTGGAGCAGGCAGTCTCCTCTCTCCAGTGCAATGTGACGGAGGAGATTCAATAAAACTGGATGCTGACGGGCAAAATAAACTACAATAGCATCTTTTATTTTGGAGTCTGCAGGTCTCCATCATCTCAAATGTCGTCACTCGCCACTTGGCTTTTTGCCACTGACCCAAACTTGAGAGTTAAAGTTTAGCTAAATTAAACTTAAAATAGTACTTTTTTATGCTGGCATTACCGGGCCTCTGCAGGGCAAGACTGATACCAATCTCTATTGTCTGTTGATTAAATATGAAAGGCAGCCACTAGCTTAGCATGAAGACGGGAAACAGAGGGAGAAGGCTAGCCTGGATTGGTTTAAAAATAACAACAATTAGCTAATCAACATCTTATAAATTATGTTTATTTCACACAAAAAGATTTTAAAAAAGAGAGATATTGCAGTTTTAAAGCGACTTATGTATCCGACACTTTCTTGGCAGGGTGTGGTGACCTCCTTTTGAAGCATATTTATGCTTTTGGTTTTGTACGGGATAAACAAACTAAGATGCAACTCATTAATTAGTGAGCTTCATAGCTGCTGCTGCTGCTGTGTTTATTGTTCTACGGTCGGACAGAGTTGCTGTTTGCGGGCATTATGCAAAGCTAGCCGCTGGTTTTAGCTTCGGATTTAGAAGAGAGATTTCAGAGCGCTGTTTATCCTTTCATCTAAATTGGCAAGAAAGTTAACAAGCGTGTTTCCCTTTGAGTTTCACAGACATGTAGAATAGGTGAGATTTGTCTCTAATGCGTGAACGCCACATTTTTAATAATTACAGGCAGTTCCTATGCAAACATTCAGAACTTCTTCTATGCATTTTATGGATATCAAAGGATCAGGGGTATGTGGGGCAAACAGAGGCCTACATTAGAAGTTGGCCTCGGAAAGTAGAGGCATGAACATGAAGTACTGTTGAGCTAATACCCATTATCTGATCAGTAAACATATTCACAAGTCTCAGCACGTGTTCTCAGATCTGAACGTACACACTCAGATCCCTCACAAATCTCTGTAAACATTTGCAAATGTTAGGTCACACATTCTTATTATGCATCTCAAACTGTGGGTACATAATCACTAAGCTGTCCATGGCATGCAAATATTAGATGATGCCAAGTTAACCCTTGTTTTTTTTTTGGTCTCTGAGATATGTTGTGAAATGTGCACACTGACTGCTGCACTCGAGTTAATCGGGGATTTTTGCTGTAGCTCACAGTTATTGTTCTATGTTGTCGTGTCCCACACCAGGAGAGTGCAGCTTCAGCTCTGCGGGGGTTTACGACGGCACCGTGTTCAGTCGGATATTTCAGATCCTGTACAGAAATGAGGAGATTGCGGTGAATGACTGTATGATCTTCAAAGTCCACCTGCTATTGGATGGAGAAAGGGTGAGTCATTCTGGTGACATTTTCTGTACACACACACACACAACACACACACATAACACACACTAACACACACACATTCCCTCGAAGCAAAAAAAAGAAATATAGAGAAGATTTATTGCCATTCGTTTGTTTGTTTTATCTGCAGCCTAGACTGTAAAAGTGTAAAATGCCTGATGGATAATTAAAGTGAAAACAACTGTATAATCGTTTTGCTCCACAGTTGTAGCTTGTGGCTTCACTGCATATTAAATGACCATTAATTAATGCATTTCTTCATCCTCTGCTCCCTCCTACGCTGATGCTTTTATCATCTGACACAAACAATACTCCCTTTTCATAACCAACACATTTAATCCTGGTAATAAGAACAGATATCTAACATGGCTATTTAGTAAAGAAATGCCATTATTATGCTGGAAAATAGTGCTCAAAGTGTCCTGAAATACCAGTGGGTGGAGGAGTTTTGCACATTTTACAGGTTTTCAGATTTATCTCTTAAAGACAACCTCCGTAAACTTAGGGACATGACTCCATGGACAGCAATGGTCAGTCCACGATTAAAGTATATTAGAATATCCATGGGTTTGTAGAGCTAATTAGCAAAGGTTAGTGTGCTAATATGCTACACTAGGTTGGTGAATGTGACAAACATTATACCTGCTAAACATCAGCATGGAGGTATCGCCGTGGGAAGCATGTCAGCATGCAAAGCTTCTGTAATGTGAGAGTTGAACAGTAACATAACAGCTATCTGCTATGTGAAGATATAGCGAAGCAATGACATACTCTGCAAAAAATTAGATCACGTTTGCTCTATCTGTGTTGTAATCCGAGCTTCTGGGGTCTTTGTTAGTTGTATATTAGGTGGTTTATGTGCATTTTAGTGTGTGTGAGTCCCTCCCATTGAAACTTTTGGCCCTTACTGTGTTTATAAAGGGACCAAATAAGTCTCTCACACTGCTTTTTAAAAGTAAAAGTGCCTTTCAGAGCTTTAAACTGGTACCATTAAACCGAAGAAGTATTTTATAGTTTTTATTTACCTGATTTTTGGGCATTTTGTTTCGTTTGAGCTCAGTGGAGGAGTTTCTACTGCTGTTTTGTGACTCTCTCTGCTCCTCCATCTCCATGTTTGTTCGTTCTACTCCACTCCATGTGTGTCTGTTTCCACACATTGTTCTGTTCCAAAAATGATCTATTTAGACTGTTGTCTGATTATTTATATTCATATGCTAATAGCAGTTCAACCAAAAAGGGATGTTTCATGGCAGAATTTATAAGAAGAAAAAAACAGTTGAGAGAAAAATGATCCTAACTCTTGAAGTAACAGTAGCACTATGTTTGTCCTCTTTTCTATGCCACCCCCAACAGATTTGTCTTTTAAGCTTCTGGAGGAGGTTCACAGTCTGATCTCTATAGTGGGAACAATTGATTGGTGTGCTTCAAACACAGCAGAGCCCCTCCCTCTGCCAAATGCAGAAAATGGCAAATTGATGATCTCTCGGTGATCCCCGAGGACATTTTTAGTCTTTCTTTGTCAGGGCTTCCTAACAGCTAAAAACACATTCCTTAAAGAGATTTAAATCTGCTATCGACCCCCATATATCCCATGGGGATCCGTATCACAGGTGGCTTTGACAGGTAATGAAATGACTGACTGACCCTCCAAAGCGCCGTAAAGGCGACTCGGTGGAAATGTTAATCCCCCCTTTTCAAAAGAACGCTGCCTTAACCATTATAGACACAGAACCAGTACGAGTTTAACCACTTGCCTCTTGGAATAATGTGCTTCACCTGCCAGACACATGTAAATTGCCTGTGCCCCAGACTGGCCATGTTTAGCTGAAATGATCAGGCGTGTAAACCTGCCAGACAGTTATTGATGTACTGTCCTTTACGGTTTCACCGTGGGCGCGACCCTGAAAATCCACTCTGCCTGTTTTGTCGTTGGGAGCCATCAGCGGTGACAGCAAATGACACAGGCCTGAAGCTAGGATGTGTGGGAGTTAAGATGGCCCCCTCTCGGAGCTAATCATCCATCTGATAGCCATAACTCACACATTGACATTACCCTGCACCGTCGCTCAGCTGCTCCCCGACACATATCTACAATACAGACGTTCGGCTCGCTGCAGAAGGATCTCTGCTTCTGCCAGAATGTGGATGTTCTGTCTCACATGACTCCTAAAATTAGAAGATTTCATTAAATGTAGACGGTCATGTGGAGGTGTGGAGACGGAGGAGCTTAAAGGCATATCAGATTTCAGCTGTAAGCCCTCCCGAAGGCTCCCCGCTCATTAACCTTCGGGAGGTTATCTGCTGCTCACAGCTACAGATAGCGCAGACAAAAATAGCCCGTCATTTCCCTGGCGTACGACCATATGTATGCTTAATCAATGCGAGCATCAATATTAGACAGAACTGCAAAGACTTGTGCATTTACTGGGCAAATGAGTGTTCGGTGTAGTAACAGGAGGAAGAGAGGCATCTATTGAAATCAGCAGGACACTTCAATCTTCAAAAGACTGTCACATCTACTCTCGGCGCCGCCTTTGTAGTTCACTCATAGCTTTTTGTTTTCCCGCTTATTTATGCCATTGCATTCTATGGCACTTTGAACATGAGAGTGGCTCAATTTTGCTCAGCCTGCATCAGATTAAAAGGAATGCTGGCACACAGAGAGCATAAATGCATTCATTAAAAAGAACATTAAGTGACTAAATAAGCATCGCAGACAAGGCTGGTCACATTAGCTCCTCTGCCAAATAGCAGTAAATCAAAAATGTCAGTTGTTTGTGACGGCGGTTCCTGTTCATTAATTCAGTATTTCATGTCTGACATACACGAGTGACAGCGAGTAAAACAAGAAGCAGGTTCTCCTGAACGGTTTGATGAGCACACTATGGCTGTCACAGTCAAATCATCACCTGTGGAAGATTTTTGTTAAACTCTCTTCTAAGAACTAAATTGGAACTGTGAATTTTTTATTTATTTTTTGCTAACAGTAACTGACTCTTTACAAAGTCTTGCCCTCCGTGGTTGCTGCTGCGATGCCTGTTCAGCTTTTTGCATGCAAATCTAACATTCAACAATATCAGTGAGAGAACATAACAACAATTTTCTGGAATATTAGTCATGAAATATCAAAGGTAGACAGAAAGGACAACAGCTACAGTCATAGTATAATTTGTCAGCAGCTTGAATGCAGGCACCTTGACAATTCATAAACACAACAAACAAATCCAGCTACAGCAATGTTCCTGCACAGCATGTTAAGCTAATGATAAGTTATGAGTCCTTATAGCTTCACTAGCAAACTACAGCAGCACAGCTAAGAGGCCAGTACTTTGAAACTTGAATGTGTGTGATAGAGAACTTAGTTTGGCTTAACAGGCTACTGGATTCACAGGTAGAGAAGGTATAGATGCTTCTAAACATCAGAGAGAGGTTAAAAAAATCCTTAAAGGGGTGCTGAAGCTGTACTGGAGGCACTGATACAACATAGTGTTGTTCTTTTGATCAGGAAATCTGAGTCCATTTCCATACACCCCCCATCCCCACTCTCACCCCAACCAGTCGAGGCAGATGGCTGCCTTCCCTGAGCCTGGTTCTGTTGGAGTTTTTTTTTTTTGTTGGTTCCTTCCCACCTTTGCTAAATGCTTACTCAGAGGGAATCCAAAGACAACTTTGGATTGCTGAGTTCTCTGTTTAAAATTCACAAGATCTGCACCTTTCTATGATAAACGTTGTGAGATGACATACGAAGTGTGTTAGAAAAGTTCCAGGACTGGTGTCACAAAAGATATGTTTCAAACCCAAACTACAAACAACCAGTTTTCCCCTTCAGACGATCAACCAGCACGTCTACAAAGAGATCCTGCAGCGTTTGCTTCGTTCAGTGTGCAAGAAGAGACGAGAGTTGTAGCAGGACAAGTCGTCACAACGCTCTGAGCATCCAACAGTTCCTGACCGAGAAGAACTTTGCCGTGCTGGAGCAACCTCCCTGCTCACCCCACCTTCTCTGTGGGATTTTTTCGTCTTCCCCAAGCTCAAGGGGGTCATCAAGGAGAAGACGTGGACGACATCAAGATGGCTGTGACGACAGAGCTGAGGAGGACCCCAGAAGAATCCGTCCAGGAGTGCATGGCGGCGTGAAGGCAGAGAAGGCTGGGAAAGTGTGTTAGACTCCAGGGGCCTCATTTATCATCAGTGCACAGAAAAGGTTCTAAATTCTGTCGTACGCATGAAATTTAGAGTCTGTATTTATCAAACATGCTTACGTGGGTCGTACACACATCAGTGTTGATAAATTCCACTTGTTCTTAACCTCCGTGCTCGTTGCCTTCAGAAACGCCTCCAAATCACCGTACACAGCAACAACACGCCTCTTTATAAAGCAAGTGAAGATTTATTTTTCCCTCATCATCATGGCAAAAAGGGCGGCAAAGAGAAACTTTTCTGAAACTGAGATCGTGTTGCTTGTCAGCGAGGTTTAAACAACCCCGAAAATATGAAATGTTGGGATAAGCAGCGAAAGAAAAAATGCTGCATGGGACAAGATAACTAGATTTCTGTTGGGTCAGAGGACAAAGAAAAAGTTTGTAGTTTGAATTTGAAATATATCTTTTGTGACACCAGTCCTGAAACTTTTCTGACTCACCTCGTATGTTGTGAACTGCAAATAAAATGGAATTATTTTGTCATTTTGTTCCCATAACGTTCACGCATCAGCAACACTAACGTAATCATCTTTTGCAGGTGGAAGAAGCCTTGAGTGAGGTGGACTTTCAGCTGAAGCTGGATCTTCATTTCACAGACAATGAGCAACAGTAGGTTCTGGAGCTGCATGGAAATGATGTGTGTCTGTGTGTTTGAGAGGAACAGCAGGAAAACGCTGGACCGTCCCCTTTGTGCAGCTTTTATGCCGGAGTGAGAATGCAAACCAGGCATGAATGAGGGCTATTATGTCTTTTGGCTCGTAGCCATCGCTTTAAGCACCTGATCACAACTGTTGTGCTCGCACTTAGTGATTTAGCGATATGTCTGTTTGCTTGGGACAAATCAAAGAATCGGGTCATGTGCATTCCCCACAAAAGGCTTTTGTATCGACCAGTGGCCTCGCATTAGTGAAGCGTAGCTAGTGTTGTGTTTAAAGTTTTTGTCATACCTGCGTGATTATAGTAGTCGTCCACCAATGCCACACGGAGCTGCTTCATACCTCAGCATGCCGGCTTTCACTACGAGTCTGGTCAACTCTTTCTTTCACAGCTAGAAGGACAACGTGCGAGTCCTCAGGCAATGACTTTAGATTATTAGTGAGCAGCAGTCTGCATTCTTAGACGTCTTTTTATAAAGCGTCTGGCAGAAAGCAAAGACGTTTGTCAGTGATATTTCTCCCTCTGTGAATAAAGAGCTGCTCCTTTTAGTGCCAAATTACAGACTCTCCAGGGTCACATTTTTTAGTATATGCAATAAAATCACTTAACTTGCACTCTTTTAATTAATCTGCACTCTCTGTAGTTTCGCATTGGCACTGATTCAGAGATTAACTGATCTTTAATTGTTATTTTAATGTACTGCCAGCGCCGTAATGTAACTACAGTATATTTCCTGAAGCACTCTACATAAGTAGAAACTTGAAGTATTTGATTTATGCTTTAATTATTTTCTCTTTGTGCAACTTTGAACATCTACTCCGTTACACTTTAACGAAAATGTTTACTTTACTTCACTACACTTGTTCAACAACTTCAGTTACCAATTACTAAAAAAAAATGGTGCTATATGATGAATTAAACTTGTATGTACAGCAGTAGTGCCTCTAAGTATTGCCCCTGGTTCTACAGTTGTGTCTCTACTATTTTTCAATTCTTCACACCTCAACGATCAAACGATTTATTGATCTTCATATCAATCAGTAATGAAATGAGTCGTTTCTTGCAACCCTACACGAGTTCAGGTTAGTTCCACACAGGTAGCTGCACATTATTGTATTAGCGATAACAAAATCCATCCATCCATTATCTGTACACCGCTTAATCCTCACTAGGGTCATGGGGGGCTGGAGTCTATCCCAGCTGACTCAGGGTGAAGGCAGGAGACACCTGGACAGGTCACCAGTCTATCACAGGGCTACACTTAGAGACAGACAACCAAGCACACTCACATTCACACCTACAGACAATTTAGAATCACCAATTAACCTCAACATGTTTCTGGACTGTGTGGGAGAACCCAGAGAGAACCCACACTGCACGGGGAGAACATGCAAACATGCAAAAGATTCCGGGACGCGAACCGGCAACCTTCTTGCTGCAAGGCAACAGTGCTACCAACTGCACCACCCTGCAGCCCTGATAACAAAATGCACAATATATTAGTTATAGAGAACAGGTTTAATACTGTAAATATATTTCACTGATTGAAATTTCCCTTAACATCTTTACTGAGGGGCTGCAAGGTGGTGCAGTTGGTAGCACTGTTGCCTCGCGGCAAGAAGGTCGTCGGTTCCCGTCCCGGTGGGGGCACCGGGATCTTTCTGCGTAGAGTTTGCACGTTCTCTCCGTGCAGCGTGGGTTCTCTCCGGGTTCTCTGGCTTCCTCCCACACAGTCCAAAAACATGTTGAGGTTAATTGCTGATTCTAAATTGTCTGTAGGTGTGAATGTGAGTGTGCTTGGTTGTCTGTCTCTAAGTGTAGCCCTGTGATAGACTGGTTACCTGTCCAGGGTGTCAGCTGGGATAGGCTCCAGCCCCCCAGTGAGGACTAAGCAGTGTACAGATAATGGATGGATGGATCTTCACTGAGTATTTTCATAATGTGGCATTCACACTTCAGTAAAGGATCTGAGTATTTCCTCCTTCACTCATGTTGGTTTTATTTAGTTTCATGTGTTGATTGATGTTTTTCAGCCCATTGTTTAGCTGTGATCGACTGTCAAACTAGATTTAGCACAAGTTGGAGAGAACAACAAAAAAAACAACTTTTCTGATCTCTACTTAAAGAGCTAAGTCTTTGTTATCTGGTGTAATAACCTGTCTTCTGTTTCACTCTTTCAGGTTGGCAGAGATAGCGACTGTCCCACTGATCAGCAGTCGGACCCTCAGCCTCCACTTCCACCCGCGACGAGGCCTCCACCACCACGTCCCCGTCATGTTCGACTACTTCCACCTGTCCGTCATTTCCGTCTCCATACATGCTTCACTGGTTGCCTTACATCAGCCGCTAATCAGGTAGTTTTGCAGGTGTTTGAGCAGGTGGCGAGCTGGTGTGCTCGAGTTAGTAGAGAGAGAGGCAGGGACCGCATAGATCTGCACATTGTAGAGGAAGTGATAGTGCAGAGTTACATCTAAGGTATTTTAGATCATTTTTCATGGAAAAGAACCTTTAAATGTAGGTGACTTTGAGACGTAGATATGAGTTTTGGGGGGTTTAAGCCAAGAGAGGGCATTATTAATGTACTCTTTGGCCTGGAAGTGATCTATAGTTTGGTACTGAGGTAGTTAGCAGTACATACGGAAAAAAAACTACATACATATGAAGGAATTTAAAGCTGCATTACCCTGCTTAATAGTGGTTTTCAAGCTACGGGTGCAAACATTGTTTCGGGGTTAAACGAAAGGTCGACCGTCTGCGATGAGGAGACCCGAAGTAGAAAGTTGGCATCAAGAAAACAAGATAACGAGAACCAACTACTGGCACGGCTCCGTCCTTCCTGTTTGTTTTGGCTGTTGCAATTAATAGCGTTCTGTTAGCTGCTTGAACGGATAGTTTTCCAAACACTTATCTGATGAATTCAGCCGTCGATAGCATAACCTCAGTATTCAGGCGTGCATTACATAGATTACTGCAGCACTCGATTGATTGGAACAGTAGCGGCTCCTGTCTCTCAGCTTATCCGTCTTCCTTCACGCACACACTGATGCTTTGTCCTCGCCTGTGTCCTCCCCGTTCTCTCTCTCCCTCCAGCTTTGCACGTACAGGGAAGGGCTCCTGGCTGGGGAAGGGCTCGCCAGAGAGCGCCAGCGACCCATCTGCCATGTCTGTAGAGAACCTTGTGTTCGGAGCTGGCTACTGCAAGCCTGTCATCTCTGAGGTATGTTAACCTTTAGCAGTTCAGCTGCGTTCAAATAGAGAGTCGCAGGAAGTCAAAGCCCGTTTTGTCTCGCAAAGCTGAAAACAGTTGTCCCCGTAAAGCTGCTTCTTCTCTTTTTTTTTTGTAAGCAAGCAGCTAAATGCCAAGCAATGACGTAAAAGCACGATGGTTTAGGGACAGAGGCTGACGGATTTAGGTGGGATTTGTTTTAGCATGTCATCCAGAAAGCAACAGGATTCTGAGCCGAGAAGAGAGTTTTTCTGATCGGGATTACAGATTCTAGACCCTCAGAATCAGTCATTTGTTGGGCCTCGATGGAGTCTTGGAGGCTTAAAGACCAGAAGCCAACACGGTGATTATCACCATGTGCTGTGGCTTTTCATAATATCTGATTAACCCACCTGCCCAGGCATGTAGGCTGCAGGCACAGCATCTGGAACTGATAGGAGCCCTCCTCTGGAAGTGATGGCGTAGCCTCGCAGGCCTTTGTGCTCATTTAAAGTACACATCAGGTACACAACGAGACGATGACAGAAATAATGATCCAATTAGTTCTATCATTGTTATTAATCATGATTATATATATGGTGTGCTTTATTGAAAGCAAATAACTTTATTACCCTTTAATCACTTAAACATACGGTTGTGCTGCATTTAGTGCAGCATTAGCGGCAGAAGTGTGTGAAAACTAATTTTATACAGAAAGTTGTTTTCTTTTATAAATAGATTTTGTCTCTAGCATTTGACCGAGCCATTCTGTTCTGCACATATGATCTGTGTCCGTTCCTTACAACATATTATACAGATATTAGCAGTTCTGATGGATTGTGGCTTTAGTTAGAGAACATCTGGAAGAACATAGTAATATTTTTGTGGTTATATTGGAATAGTACAGGAAGATGTCACACCCATTCACAAAATAGTTCACGTATGTCACTCGGCATAAAAACTAGAAAAAATTATTATTCAAGTTTTCGCAAAAATTGAATAAAAAACATGTAACTAATGTGTTTATGTGATACTGGTAGAGTCTCAAACGCATTCATAGGCAAGCTAGCCTTAGATTATTTATGCTTTCCTAAACAGTTATTTAATTTTTTTTTAAATTTAGGTTTTTGTTTTATTTTTATGTGTGATGATGATTTATCAAACTACAGCAATGTGTAGTACAACACAATATGTTTTTACACTGATATGCCAGGCTACATGTTGCTATATTTTGGTACTTACATTGGAGGTCCTTGTATATGGAAATGCATCCATACGTACAGTAATTACTGCTACAAATATCCTGCTGAAACCAAAAATGCAATATTGAACATTAAAAAAAAAAAAGAAAAATTAAAAAATATTTAGTTTTCAGTAAACAGATCAAACTCAAAAGCAAAACCCAGGATTAATAGCGCAATTAAAGGTTCCCGGACTTTGTCTTTTGTGGTCTCTGTGGTGTTTCTGGACCAATATTGATGCTGAAATGTGAAAAAACCTGATATTCAAACTCTGTGTTGTCTGCAGAGGAAGCAACCTATAGAACAGTTTTGTAACCTAAAGCTGATGTCTTGTGCTAAAAGCATCAGAACAGGAAACCCTGAGGCCAGAGAATGGTTTTGCTCGGTAGAGCTATTTTCCATTGCTTCCACATTTTTTATGCTAAGCTAAGCTAACTGTCTCAAACTGGCTTCATACCTGTGCTTTATACTTTCCACCAACGAGAGAATTTTGCTCAATTTGCTAATTATTGCGACACACTGAACGCACAGTTGTAAAGCTGCAGGCTCCATGTTTTTTCTACCCTTTTATAACCTGCATCCTCCAGGTTCCTGCGGACGTCACAGCCTGAACTGTAAATCCTAATGAGCTCCCCGGCCCCCCCACCCCACCTCCCTGCTCCTCCTTCTGGTTTTTACTCCCACCCCTGGCTGGGCACTTTAATAAGCTCTGCGTTTAGCCAGGCAGGGGGGTTTCGTTTGATCACAGTAATGAGTTCTGCTCACAAGCGCCACGTACCATATAGCTGCAGGTGAAATCTGCACACAACGCCACCACCTCCTCCTTCACCTTTATTTATTTAGAGCTTCTCACCTGCGGCGACACTTCGTTTTCAGCACTTTCCCCTTTAACGCTGTGCCATTTCCTCAAAGTGTCATGCTGTTAATTTTTGGAAAAAAAATAAAAATTACATTTAAAATGACATGTTGTGGAATCCAAATGATATCAGCTGAAAGGAAAAACACTGTCAGCTTTATGAAAGGGAAAATAATTCTGTAAGAAGTGACACTTGGTGGGGATGATTTTGGTGGGAATTAAATACAAATCTGAGCTAACAGTTCAGAACTCTTGTCAGAATGATTTTGTTTTGAACGTCTCTGACAGCAGCAGTGATTGGATGCTGAGGTAAAATTACAGACTGTGATAGTAGCAAACAAAAGCAGAAATCCACATGTCACTTAAACTGGGGCGCATCCCAGGCATTGTCAGAATGAAGAGAAATGATGGTTTTAGGATAATGACTAGTTCATACAGACAAAAAAAAAACTATTTTTCTCAGCGTTTTGCTCACAGACTGATCCCAGCAGGCCTCTATAAAAGCTAAAGAGAATTATGAAAGTAAACATACAGATGTTCCTTCCTGGTTTGGGTATACTGCACTGCTGCAATTACAGAGCGTGTGCAGGTATGATGATAGGGCCAGAGACGTGACTCGCTCGGGGCAAATTACAGTACATCCTCAGATACTGAGGCATAACATGCTTTTTAGAGTGCTGAGCCCCAGTGGCGCTGCCAAAACATCCCAGCCATGGGAAGAACGCCATGGATGGCTGTTTCGGGTCAGGGACCAGCGCTGCTCGTCCCCTGGCTCCATATTATGATGGCTGATGTGTACAATTATAGGTGTTTGGTTTGAGGGTCATTAGTTCTTGAAGAAGATAAATGAGGGACACGATTAACAGGACATCAGTGATTTGTAGCTGTTTGCACAGATGCTTGTGTTTCACTCATACTATGCATTTAACAGGTGAAGCACAGCTAATGTTTTTACTCTATTGTTAGAGGGCCATCTGCTGGAAACACGCTCCATATTACAACTCATATTTAGATAGCTCATTCCAAAGCTATGGATTGCACAGGAACTATTCTTAAAATGTTTTTCTCTTACTTCATGCTGCTCCGATATCAAGCAACTTCCGACCTTTAGCTACTAACCCCCCTTACTGTTTTTAAATGTCTTAGCATCTCATTGTAACTCTTCAAATGTGATCTTTATCTCCTGTATACATTTTTAATATATATATATATGTGTATATAATATTTCTTATTTCACAAGTAATGACACGTTAGATTCTGGGTCAACTTCCCACACTTTGCAGCCCTTTGAAGGTCATAAAAAGGATGGCGTACATCCCCCTGTGCCACATAAACGTATTGATCGGCTTTTACAGCTCACAGCAAGCTGTGTTTAGGGCCCATTTGTCCCTAACGTTGTATTTGATCCTCCAAGTAATTATTGTGACTTTGCAGATGCAGAAATAAGCTCCTTTTACCACAAGGTCAGTACAACAAGCCTGTACAATTGCCGTAGTGGAGGCTGTAAAGTTCAACTATGTGTACATGGCCATCATTAAGGCAGGCCGTTTTACCTGAGAGGTGACTACTGACCTACATAGCAGCTGACATTTCCTCTGTGCCTCCTCCTCTGCAGGGAAGCTTTTATGTGCCCAGTGAAAATTGCCTGCAGAGAGCTCATACGTGGCACCGGCGGCTCTGTCGCCTCCTGCTGGTGGCACACAGAGGCCTGCACACGTACTACACGGCACTGATGAAGGAAATCCCACAGCTCCAGCAGATTCCTCTCAACTCAGGTGATGCACGTGCAAAGCTTTTTATTCATCTCTTTACAGAATGTCTTGTGAGATCTGAAATAACTTTATTAGAATCAGCTCATTTTGCCCAATTATATTATTACAGGACATTATAAGGGCAGTAGCAGTGGTGGAGGAAGTACTGATGTAAAATTACAACATTAGACACAGAGGTTTAGCATTTAACAGTTTACTTGCACTAAATACAGAATTATTTTTAGCAAATGAATGATATTATCTGCACAGACACACTGAAGTGGAGCTGATTTAGACTGTTTAATATAGTGCGTCACATTTTATGAGTCAACCCTTGGATGGTGACTACGTCTTATAAAAGCTTAACTAGTAATTGCTAAAAAAAAAATAAATGTCACTGAGTTGAGTGTAAGTATAAAATCACAACAAATTAAAAAATACTCAAAAACAAATACAAGCACATTTTACTGCACTGACTTTGCTAACTAGCAGAATGATTTTATATATCTTCAGTATTCAGTTACCAAGAGGATAATTTACAGCTTTAAGTTTTCATAGACAACATTAAATCTTTATCTTTAGGCTTAATTAGTATTTAACTGATGTTCAACATAAATTTGATGTCTGTGTCATTAACATTGCAGTAGGTCTGTCTTCCTACAAGGTACACAAAGTGTGATCCACTTTTGCACTAAGCTCTGCAAATAACATGTGTTTTCACAGAGGAGCTGCCTGTAGAAGAAACTCTAAATCAGCTGACAATAGAGTTACAGGTAAGTGTTAAGCTACTGCATATCCACATAATCAAAGTCATAATAACGCACGTTGATTGTAGATATTGCACGGATCCTACATGTTCGGTCTATGACAAATATACAGGCTTGTTTAACATGTCCGTGTGGGAAAATGTATGTTTTTGGCGTTATAGCTGACAGATTTGCGAGCTCTGCTGCTTTAGAAATACCTCCAAGCACCTCTTGTCTCGAAG